AGATACAGCTTATTTGAATGCTGAGCTTCCTGAAACTGTGTATATGAAGCAACCTCCAGGTTACACATGTGATGATTCCCAGAAAGTGTACAGATTGCGTAAAGCACTGTATGGGTTAAAACAAGCTGGGAGATGTTGGCATCAATGTTTAGATAAAGCTTTGTTGGAAATTGGTTTCAAGAAATCATTCATTAGCTGATCCATGTGTGTATACCAGAGGAACTGGGGAAGACTATACAGTACGTCTAACTTATGTTGATGATTTTTGTCTTGCCACTGGTTCTTTAAACTTGGTAAAAGAATTTGCCAAGCAAATGGAGAAATATTCTAAATCGAAGGATCTAGGTATGTTAAGATACTACCTTGGGATTGAAGTGCATAGAGCTGAAAATGGAGAAATCTAAGTCAAAAGAAAAAGAACAGTTGTTAGCACAAATTGGAATGTCAGATGCAAAACCTGTAAAAACTCCAATGACTTGTGATTTTTTAAAACATGAAATATGTGAAAAGTTGTGTGAAAAATCTGAAGTGTACCATTCTGTAATAGGTTCAATCCTTCACCTAGCTCAATGGACACGTCCTGATTTATCCTATGCTGTTGGGGTTTTGAGCTGTAAAGTGGCCAAACCAACTGAGCATGACTGGCAAGGATTAAAAAGAGTAATGAGATATTAAAAAGGTACAAGAGACCTTTGTCTCAAAATGTCAACCAAAGGGCCTGAAAAGCTTGTAATTTTTGTTGACAGTTCATTTGCAGAAGAAGGTGACAGGAAGTCCATAACTGGGTTTGTTTGTAAATTTGGTGAATCCACAATTGTGTGGAAAGCAAAGAAACAAACATCCATTGCCTTGTCCGCAGCAGAAGCTGAATTTGCAGCTTTGTCAGATACAGTTTGTGAGTTAAGATGGTTTCATCAATTATTCATTGATTTGGAAATAAAAGTGTCATTGCCTTATACAGTGCATGAAGATTCCCAAGCCTAGGGTTAGCTAAAACAGAAAACCTAAGAGCTCGCACAAAGTATGTTGATGTAAAGTACAGAAATGTAAGACAAGCTATGTTAGAAAATTTCATTGATCTTGTGTATTGTTTATCTGAATCAAATTTTGCAGATGTATTTACCAAAACATTACCTATTGTACTACATGAAAGAATGTTAACTA